GGGTAGGGCATGGGGGTAATGGCTAGCAAGCAGAAGAGCCTGCCCTGAATTACTGTTGAAATCCACTGATAATTCCAGAGCCCTAGCATAGCCTTAAGGGCCATGCTCTTTCCTTACTAAGACAGTTAACAAGTTGCCCAGGTACCTGCTTTCATAATGGCAGTAATTATTAATGGGACTCTAACTCAGAGTTGGAAAGAAAGAAAATTCCCATTGCCTCTTCCCACACCTTAGCTGAGATCAGATTTCTCTCTGTTAGACACACTGGATATGGGTTAACGAGGGCCCTTACTGTAGGGGAGGGCGATGATGATGTAATTAGCTCTAGCCTTTGTATTCAGGTCCTCAGGCAGGGGACAGGGGCCGTGAAGGGACTTGGGGCACCATGAAAACATTCCTCTGTCTTCCAGCCTGAGAAAGCGTCTTAGAGGCCAAGGGGACTGGGTTTTGTGGGAGCCCTCCGTGGTGGCCTTGCACTGATTCAGAGTTGCTCTGGGGATTTCTCCTGGCCCCTTTTCTGTACATCACAGCAGCTCTAAGGATGCTCCCTCCAACTTTGACTCTGGTTGCTGCAGGCTAACAGCCCAACAGAAGACAGAGTTTTAAATGGGGGCTGAAAATAAGGGATGCTTTAGGCCCAGAGTTGATTTTTCTGATTTTTTGGCCTTTTCACCCAATATATATTTATGGATGGATGTATTTATTTATAGTTTATTTATTTTGAGAGAAAGAGAGAGAGAGAGAGAGAGAGAGGAAGACACCATGCACACCACATGGGGGAGGGGCAGAGAGAAAGGGAGAGAGAGAATCCCAAGCGGCTCCACAATGTGGGGCTGGAACTCAAGAACCGTGAGATCATGACCTGAGCCGAAATCAAGAGTCTGACGCTTAACTGACTGAGCCACTCAGCGCCCCAGTATTTATTTAGTTTTTAAAGTAGGCTCCACACTGCTGTGGGGTTAAACTCCTGACCTTGAGACCAAGAGTCTCATGCTCTACCAACTGAGATAGCCAGGTGCCCCTCACTCAGTATTTTCTGTGCAGATGAAATCATAGTAACATGAACATCAGGGGCTTGGTCAAGGGAAGGACTGCAGTGAAAGTAGCTTCAGGCGCATGAGGTGACTGTGTGGTTTGTTTAAGAAAGACTGGAGGATATGGGGCAGATTGGGTGGGTGTCTCTGAGCCTTGGCTCCACCTAGATCCCTTTCAGCTTGGAGCGCCCCCTTCTGGACTGCTCTGTATCAAGCTCTACTTGAGCTCTGCCCTGCCATACATACCTCTAGTTTTCTTCTATCAGGAGGAATGCGGGGGAAGGGGGAGTAGGAGATCTGGGCAGGTTTAGCAGTTATTAATTTCGGAACATCACAAAGCTCTGCCCTCTAGTGGTTCTTTGGGAAACATTCACATTGTCTTAACAACAACAACAACAACAACAACAACAACAACAAAGACAACACTTAATGCTGATTCTATTTGAAACAGAATGGCCAGAGAGAGAGAGCGAGCAAGATGACTCCAGAGAACAGAATCCCTGAAGCTCCACAGTCAAAAACTCCTTTCTGTTTCAATTGTCACTCCCTGGCCACTGACAAGTTTAGGAACTGTCCAAACAAGTTTAGGCTACTTTAATAAAAGAATGAAGCAACACATCCCTAAAAACAAAACTCGGTTTGTATTCCTTGTTCTTGCTCAGGATAGTGCCTCTAAAGCCCTTTTACTTGTGGCCCTTGTTTGTTTACATTACTGACTGATAACAGGGTTGATTCTTGGATGGCAGCAACCTCCTGTCTGTTTCTTTATGAAATAGCTCTTTGGCATTTCTTACCCTCTAACAAGTATTCCTGTTTTCTTGCATGTTGAGAAGAAAACGCCTTTAGTAACATACCCACCTTAAAATTCAATTTTCTTCCATTTCTTCAAAGTAAGGACAGATTTTAATTTATATGGCAAGCTGAACTGTGTGCTCTCTTCCTAAAGTTTTTAACTTTACCCTTAAGTTGACTCTTGCCTACTCGGTGACCTTGCACCCTAATTTTTCCGTTTACTTCCTGTACCGTATTTGAAGAGCCAATAAATCACATCTTAGGTCAGCCCTTTCCTTAACATGAATAATATTTGTATTCTTGCTGTGCAACACAATTTTACAACAATGCCAATTTATTTTTTTGGCAGCCTAGACTTTCATTCTTTTTTCTTTGCTTTTTCAAAGCCCTATTGAATTTCAAGCCTCTCTCTTAGCTCTTGTGGTGATTGCTGCTTTAATGCACTAACTTTTCACCTCTTCAGGCTTATCTGGAAAATATCACATGTGAGGTCCTAGGTGGGCTGCCTCAGTTTGATGGGGGTGCAGAGCAGAATTGGGTCCAGTCAGGCTGTGATGTGGAGGCCAACTGGGAAGAAGGGATGGTGAGACTGGCCACGGTGAGTAGATTCTCACCTGGTGCTTGGGTTGACCACTAACAAGTTTACTACCCACCCCCACCCCCTACATAGGACCCTCCTTTAATTAAAATAACATACTTTAATGATCTCGCAATCATTGGTTTGTTTCCAGAAGCTATCAGGTTGCGTGTGGAAAAGTCAGTGGAGCAGAAACGCGATCCACTGACCTCATCACCCAAGCCATGGAGGAGGGAAATTCAGCATCTGGCACAGGGAGGGTAGAACCAGATAGAATTTTTATTTCAGTCATATCTTGTAAGAGCCTGGCTTTTTTATGATAAACTCTGGCTAGTTCTTACTATTCCTCCCCCTTGTGAAAATCATTCAACTGTTAGTTTGTACCCATTTTTGTTTGTGTCTATATGCTGTGCGTGTACGTGTGTGTGTGCATGTGTGTGTCCATGTGTGTCTGTCTGTTGGAGGGCTTAGAATTCTTACTTTTTTATGTTCTTACACAGTGTGAAATTCATTGAGCACCTGCCCAGGCAGCCAGCAGTATTTACAAATCTATGGGAACTCAGAACTTCAAAGTATCATACCTCTCATAAATCATTGGGGGCGGCTGGGTGGCTCAGTCGGTTAAGCGTCCGACTTCAGTTCAGGTCATGATCTTGCAGATCGTGAGTTCGAGCCCTGCATCAGGCTCCGTGCTGACAGCTCAGAGCCTGGAGCCCGCTTTGTATTCTGTGTCGCCCTCTCTCTCTACCTCTCCCCCTCTCTCTTTCTCAAAAATAAATGAACATTAAAAAAATTAAAAATATCAATATTGTGGCCCAGTTTGCCTTTAAGGTAGGTGTAGCAAAATGTTAAGAGAAAGGGCCCTGCAGTCAGTTGAGTTTCCTGTGTGATGGTGGGCACTTTACCCATCCTTTTTAAGCCTTACTTTTTCACCTGTAATATGGTAATAACAATGACACGGGTGAGGAATAAATGAGGTGGTTCATATAAAGCACTTAGCAGCACATAACGCTCAGTTTTTATAATTGTGAAGATGGAAGAGCCATCTTAGGGGATCAGTTTGTATGGTGTAGATCTGGACTATGGGGTCAGAAAGGCCCGAGTTCAGACTCCTAACTCGTAGGTATTAGCTCATCAACTCTGGAACCTCATATACCACACGAGCCTTTGTGTGCTCCTCCGTAAGCTGATGACCGTATCCTGTCCCCCCAGGGCTGTTGTGAGGCTTTAGTTAGGTACAGGATGTACTGTGCTTGGCACATGGAACCTGACACGTGTTAGCTGAGTTCCCGTTCTCCAAGTCTTCTAGGATGCTGGGTGTTGTCTCCAGTAGGCATTTCAACCCTAGTTTTACTTGATATGAGTCAGAGATAAAGAAAAGGGGATCTGTTAGAATGACACCACCCCTACCCTCAATTAAAAACAAACATTAAACACTTTCTTTCAGATATCTTCAAAAACCCGGGAGACTTTGGCTCCCCAACTTAAAATACTAAGTCAACAGAAACAAATATTGCTGTTCTGTTAAAAGTAAATGAATGCGTATATTGTTACGAAACGATGGGTTGAAAGTTCTCCTAATCACTCTGAAGGAGAACAAAACTCCCTGACTGAGAAGTATACAGGGTGCCACGGAAGTTCTTTGGGGCCACCAAGTGCTTTGGATGTTAATAATCTGGTTGGAAAGATGCCATGGTCGTGTACCTTCTGTGTGTGCCTCAGTCTTCCCCCTTGTACCTACTAATATAGCTCTGGGCAGAATTTTTGGTTGAGTGTCTCAAGAGATTTTTCTTCTTTTGTAAATAAAGAGGTCAGCCTATAATCAGTGCTTTCTCGGGGCTGTAGAGGTGAGAGAAGGGGTCCATTGACATGGGAGCTACACGGAAGCTTCTTTCTGCTTTGCTCAGACGTGGGGCCTGTCTGCTCTGTGGGCAGGTCCGTGAGAAAACAGTAACACCCGCTTTGGTGTGAGCAGTTTGTTTTCTGCTTACATACACAGACTTGATTTATCATCTCAGTCCGGACAGCATCTGAGTCTAATTACCTGGGTATATGAAAGTTCAGGAGATCTCAACTAAGTTTGCAATTCAGGGATGCGCTTTACCAGAAGCAGATGGAAAAAATAAAACACTTTAGTTTATGACTATTTTTCTATTTGGGGGAAGGAGAAAGAACAAAAAGAGTTGCCAAATTGATCCTTGTCAAGCACTAATTAAATATTATTCATGATTAATTCTGATGTTGATGTATTCAGTGTTTTAGCGGTGTCATAAATATCTAAAAGAATGAAATAACTCACTTTGTGTAGCTATAATAAATCATGCATACCACAGTTCCCACGTGGCCTCATGAGCCAGCCCCTTATTATTATGTTTTTAATGCATACACTTGTTAGTGACTTTCATGGAATATTATTAGAGATGTGAGAAAATAATTTCCTAATTATGCCTTGCTGTTGGCATTTCATGCAGGTAACAAATACTTTTAAAATTATGAACAGTTTCTAATTGTTTCTATTGTTTAGAGATAGATATTGAAATATTTACAAATGAAATGTCTGGGATCTGCTTAAAAAATACAGCTTGTCTGAAAGAGGGGTGAGTGGGTGGGAATATGGATGCAACAAGAGTAGCCATGAATTGATAATTCTTGAAACTTAGTGATGTGTCCACGGGAGTTCATTATAATATCTTCTATTTTTCTGTATTTGTGGACTTTTCTATAATAAAGTGTCTAAATGATTTTCCCTTGGGAAGGAGCTCAAGTTTACTTCTCAAGAAAAATTATGGTAATCAGTGTTTGTTGTAAGCGTATGTTCCTTAAATGACACAAATCATGGGTCAGAAGAATGTTGTAAATCCAGCTTGGGGTTGATAGACTAACGAAGATGGTGATGATGATGAAAATAGCAATAGTAGCTGCTACTTCATCGAACATCAACTGCTTTGCAGACGCCGTGCTGTGTGCTTCCCACCTTTATTTAATCCTCAAGATGGCTGTGCAGGTTAAATATTTCTGTCCTTACTTTGTAGATGAGTAAACGGAGACCGAACTTAAGTTACTTGTAAAGGCTGCATGCTCTAGGACAGAAATGAGGCATCCAGGTCCCAAAGTGAATTCTTTTTTTTTTTTAAATTTATAAGGAGACTGCACTTAGTGAGACAGTTGGATTCGAACCATGAATTGAAGCAACTTGATCAAGAAGGGACCTCAGAGATGCTTTAGTCAGAGATGGCAAATAGAGGACATGCTTCATGCTCCCTGCCCCTGTGCCCATGGTAGCAGATGCTGTCAACAGATTGTGGCTCTTTGCGGCACAGGCTCAGAATCCCACTCAGAACCCCAAACAGGTCAGCTGGCTCAGAGTTGGCATTCCTTTAGGAAACTGTTCTTCATCTCTTATCCCTCTGACCACCTTACCAGATGAGAAAACTGAGGCCTGGGGAGAGGCAGGACTCACTCAAAATCTCACAGACAATGGGTGTCAAAGTACTCATTTCTCCTGACATCTGTCAGGGCTCCTTCCAGCACATTAGCTAAGGCTCCTTCCATTTCAACCTTCCTGTGATCCTACATGTGTTAATACACGGAGACCGCTTAGAACAATGCCTGGCACATGCTAAGGACTGGATTGATACTGGCTATTGTTACTATTATCGTTATTTGTTATAAGGAGGAAAACCGTAAACTATGCCAACTCTAAGATGTAAGAGGTGTGAATAAAACCAGGTCAGTTTGCAAAGCATCGGCTAGTTTCCTAAAATGGTAACAGAGCCTTGGGCTGAAGTTGACCAAACAGCTGCAGCTTCAGGCCCCAGTACCCCCCTCCCCCAACCACCCCCCCCCCAACACAGACTACTGGGCCTTTGGTCCCCAGTCACTGCTCCTCAGGAATGTGCGTGGAAAGCACCGTCCTGAGGGCTCTGTCGAGTGTAGATTGATGATGCGAAGCAGCCGACCTTAGCATTGCCTTTGTATGGCGCCAGGGACACCCCGCCAGCCTCACCTTGTCCAGGCTCGGCAGATCCATAAATGGCTCGGCCAGCTCGATGAATTCCTGCTCTGCCAGGGCATCCGGATTTGGGCTTTGCTCACAATCTCAGGTCACCCTCTCCTCCTCTTAAGACTTTTGAATCCTTTGATGATTCTGACTGACATTATTTCCACCACTCGCAGGCACCATTGTCTTACCTACAGAAAATGTCCTTGATTCTTTGGTGGTTTTGTGGCTTGATTCTGGTTTCCCCGGGAGCTTAGGAATGATGCAGGTATTGTGAGTGGAATTTGTTTTTTTTAAGTCTGTGAATTAAACAGCTAAGAAGCCCATGTAATTTGTGTGACAAGTGACAGCTTGTGTGAAAATAACTTACCCATATCCTGTTACACATTTGCATCCATTATGCTGGGTAAAGCCGTATGTCACTGGTAGACCATTAAGTCGTAGTCACCAGTGTTTTCCTAGGTGAAAGGGTAATTATTTTTGCTGTTTGTTCATAATTTATTAATAGTCAGTGCAGAACATTAGGGTAGAGGATTATTTCAAACAAAGTGACAGATCAGATGTGTGGAAGGCATAGTGATCTGGCGGTTGATAAGAAAAGCTATTAGTGTAAAGATAAGCTTTCGTTTGGGATCTGCATTTGCTGCTGCTGATTGACACTTCAGATAAAATAGGCGCGTGCAGAAGACTAAAGAGAAACCTATTGAGCATACCAGTAAATAGTTTTGCTTTGGACGGAATCAGCTGTGTTCTAGAGTACAAGCACGGTTTCCTAGAATGGTATGTGCATACTGGTACACGGGTGATTTTAAGGGGCACACGAGTATTTTTTTCTTTTAACAGTTACAAATTTACCTTAAATGTGCTAGGAAAACAGTATAACTTACAACATACGTGATTTTTTGGATTTTTTATTATTTATTTTTCTTACGTTGAGGTTAAATTAGATATTAATGGTTTTTTTAAATGTTTATTTTTGAGGGAGACAGAGAATGAGTGGGGGAGGGGCAGGGAGAGAGGG